TTGTACAATATACAGTCATTAGGGCAAGCATGTATCTTTTGGTATCCCAAACCTATTAGACATAATATTTTTTTGGCTTCATAGTAACTACTTGAAAGTGTGTTACCCTCGGGAAGCATCTCTTTCAATAATTTAAGCAACACTGTGAAACTCTTATTGCTCCACCCATATCTGGCTTTCAAGTTGAACAACTTTGACATCGCTGTCAGTCGTGTATATTTTGTACACCCTGGATATAAAGGAGTTTCTGAATTAGTGCACAAGCTATCATATTTGTGCACCTTTTTAACAGCTTCAATGCCAATGTCACATAACATATCCTTTATTTGATCACCAAAACCCATATCATCATTCTCAACTTGTGGTGTACTACATTTTCTAGATTCACCATGCAATACCCACTGTCTATATGTTTTGTAAAACCCAAAACAAATTAGGTGATCCTTAATCTCCATAGAACTTCGTCGCAACCCATTCAAGCACTTAACACAAGGACAATAGAACAATCCTTTGTTATTAGGAACATTGTTCTTTACAAATTCCAAAAATTGATCTACCCCCTTCTCATATTCATCACTTGTTCGCAAAGCATCTATCTAACTACAGTTCATCATTACCTATTGCAAAAAAGCAAGATCTTATCCAACTACGGCATCATAACAATTTATAAAGCGAGATTTTTGAGACACTAAATCCTTCAATTCTATCAATTTAATGTTACTAAAATGCCAATTTCAAAAAATTTTAAAAATATTAATTATTCAACTACAAATTAATTATACTAAACATAAAGAAATTAATATCATGAAAATTTAAAAAAAAAATCAGCAGCATAACAACTTGTAAATTGAGATTTTCCTGGGCACTGAACCTTCAATTTGTTCAATTTAAGTAAACCACGATTGATATTTTGATAATTATCAACTCTAATCAATAATTAATATTATAATTTATGATAATGGGGTTCACAATTCATCCCAACAAACAAACTTAAAAAGAAATTAATTATACTAAACCTAAAGAAATTAATATCATGAAAATTTAAAAAAAAAATTGGCAACATAACAACTTATAAATTGAGATTTTTCAAGCACCAAACTCTCAATTTGATCAATTTAAGTAAATTTTAATTGAAATTTTAAAAACTATCAACTCTAATCAACAATCAATAGTATAATTCTTTGAAGAAAAAAATTTAAAAAACTTAAAAAATAACAAGAGGCAAGCTATAATAAAAAAATAAACTAATTAAGTAATAAATAATTAATTAGTAACAATCCAAATTTAACCCAACAAATAAACTTAAAAGAAAAAAAAATAGTAGGAAAAGAAAATAAAAAAATTGTAAAAAAAATAGAAGATAAAAATAATTAAGTACAAAAAGTAACTAAAAAATTGCCCAAAAAAAAACCTTATAGATGAAATCTGGAAGAGATAGTAGCTGGCGACTGGAGAGGCAGAGAGAGGAGCTGTGGGAAATGTAGTTGGAGGTGAACTGTGGGAAAGGCAACTGGACGGTGAAGCTGTGGTGCTGGAGAAGAAGACGAGCTAAGGGGAAATGAGCTGAGGGGAAAGAGCTAAGGATGACGGTAGCGACGACAACTGAGGGAAACAAACTAAGGGAAATGAGCTGAGGGAAATGAGATGAAGGAAAGGGAGAATGGGACGAAACCTGTGGCGCTGTGGCTGTCTCTAATGAAGATGTTTGGGTGACTGTCGCCGAAGATGTCTGAATTTTAGACATAATTAATTATGTTTGAAATTCAGACATAATTAACCTAAATTAAGATAAATTAATTTCAAAAATACTTAATTAATTTAATTTATTTAAGAAAAATTAATTTACCTAAAATAAGAAATACTTAATGAACATAATTTATTAGAATTATATTATTAATTACTAAATTTTATTTTTAATTTATTAAAATTAAAATTTTTAAATAAATAATTTACATATTTATGTCTTAATTAATTTAATTTATTATAGTTATTTTTAAAATTAATTATATTTAGGTAATAAACAATTGAGTAATAATTTACTTTAACTAATTAATTAAATTAAATGATTTAATTTTTTAAAATTAATTAAATTAATTTACTTTAACTAATTTCATTTATGGAGACAGTTAATCTTAGAACTGTGGCTATAAATGAAATACATGAGCATTTAATTATGAAAAAGCCACTTGCACATATATTGCCACAGGTTTTGAGAAACTATGACGAAAAATGTGTCATTAAAATTTTATTTTGCACTAGTGCATTGCAAAAAAAGGGGGGGGACAAAAAATGTCATTTCTCACAATTACGGGTTATTCACCATGATTAATGATGCGTTCACCACGACAGATCACGCTAAGGCTAATTTGATTTACATAATAGTCAACGTTTTATACATAAATAATGGGGGTAATTTCTCAAAATTTCAAAGTTTAGGGTTTATAATGTTACTTGCATAATAGTTTAGGGTTTATAGCATTAATTACCAAATGAACAGTAGAGGTAGGATTCAATTTGTTATGAATTTGAAAGTCTAGGATTCATTTTGCATATTTTAAGAGTTCAGGATCCAAGGTTTTTTTTGTGCAATACTTCAAAGTCTTTTTTGCTCATTAATCCTTTAAATAATCATAACTTTCCTTCTTATATTTATAACAATGCAACTGTAAATCACAAGTTCGTGTGTCAAATTTTTGATATTACTACAAGTGTTAAAAATAACAAATAATGATTACAAGTTTTGCTTAAATAATCACAACTTCAATTCTTATATTCGCAATTATACAATAATAAATCACAACTTCACAATCAAATTTATGATATTGTTGCAAAGACAATTTGGTTATTTGTATAAATTTATTAATGATAAAAAAATTACTAAAAATTTAGTAAAATTATGATATTTTGAGAAACTAAATTATTATTTATATAATTCAAAGGGATTTTATTATTATTTTCCTTGCTTATTAACTAGTTACAATAATTTAATACCTTTTCGATATTAAAAATCCTAGTAAAAAAGTTGTTTATAGAATTTGTTATTCTATGTAAATTAAGATATGAAAAAAAAAAATTATCCATTGAGTTGCTATCTAACTTTTTATAGTTTGTGTAAATTTAAATTAGTAATTTTGTTGCACATTCCATACCCATCTTTTATCCTATAGGTTTCACATTAATTATTTGTTTTTCATTACAGGTCTTGCCCCTACCTTTGTTTTTCTTTTGTTTTAACCATGAACCCACATTCTTTCAATTTGTCTAACTATATAAAGGGGAGAATTTTAATTAAAGATCATGGAAGAGACTTAATTTAAGGTGGATCCAAAAACATTTTGAAATCTTACTTCAATCCAAGGGAGAAAAATTAGAAGAATTTTAATAGTTAAAAGAATAAAATGCCCTTCACATGTTATGCAAAATTACTAGTTGTTAATTTTTTTTACTATACTTGTTAATTTATCTATATCACTTGTAAATTATATCTGTTTGTCAGACAATCAGTAATATTAGTTGTTAATTTGCTAACTTTACTTGTTAATATACCAACATAAATTGTAAATTATAAAACCTGTCAGTAATTTACAATTGATGTTAGTAAATTATAAGATCTATCAGTAATTGACAACTGATGTTAATAAGTTAACAAGTAAAATTAGCAAGTTAACAACTGATATCATGTCTTATATAATTATTAATATATCAACTCATGTAATTTACAATCCGTATTCATAAATTAATAAGTCAAGTAAGAAAATTAACTAGTGATTCTGCATAACAGGTGAAGGACATTTGGTATTTTCACTGTCAAAATTCTTTTAACTTTTCTCCCTTGAATTAAATTGAAATTTCAAAAAAAAATTTGAACCCACTTGAAATTAAGTATTTTCCCTCTTGCTTAACTAAAATTCTCCCCATGTAAAATGACCTATAAATAAATTAAAAAAAACAAAAGACATGACATAAAAAGGCAAAAAGATTTCTTTAAAGAAAGAAAATTTTGATGGAGGTTGAAGGGTCACTATACAAACAGCTGTTCATGAATGAATGCATCAAACTTCACTATATACTCCCTAGATAAAAATATCAGTATTGATAACTAATTTACAATTTTAAAAAATGTTAGTTGAAATCTTAATTTCTTAAAAAAGTTATATCCTTATAATTTTATCCTCATTTTGTTTGGCCAAAAATTTTACTCTCATTAAATATCCTATATAAATGCTTTAATAATAATAATAATTAAAATTTCAATGCATTGTTTTTTTTCAAAAAGAGTAATAAATGAAGTAAGGATAGAGTTGAAAAAATAATTATAAAAGTTATTCAATGTTTTATATGTTGAATTTTTGATCAAATGCCTTATGTGTTAGATCAAGCAAGGCTTCTAAAACATGCCCAATAAAAATTATAAAAGAAAGATTACATGTACAAGAAGGAACCTCATTGTATATCAATGTTTTGAAAACCAAATTGGATACTAAACTGAAAAGTTCAATGGTTTATAGTTCACATGGTTCAACTAAGTTAGACTAATGATCAAATTGGTAATGTAATAATTAAATTAAAAAATTATATATATATATATAATCAAAATATAAAAAATAAATATGAAATTGTTACTTAACTTAAAAAAATCAAATATTTTAAGTTTATCATGAGTTAACAAGTTACATTATACAACATAATATCAAATGAATAAAAAAATTGATCATTTCCTAAAACAAATTCAATAAAAAAAAAGTTTTTTTTAACAATCTAATTCTTTAAAACCGGATCCAGTTCCTAACTTGATTCTAGTTCCCAGTCTGACTGCCAGTTCAAAACGGTCCAACCCTCAAAACAATTTTCACATATTGATCAAACCGGAATCCAGACTGGTTGACGGTCGGATTAGTCCAAGCATCTGGTCTGGTTTTTAAATCACTATTGAATATTATAACTTCTCTGGGTAGCCATATCATTGTATTTATTTCTCCCTCAATTGAAATTCTGCATCATTCTTTCCTGCCCCGTTGTTGCTTTCATTAAACAACCTTTCTGCTACGAATATACATTTACTGGTCAAGCTAACATATCATACAAGTTAATATTACAAGAAATTTAGGCAATCAAACCCTCACCCATTTTTTCAACTGCTTAAAGAGATGCCTAATATGTTCCATTGTGTTATTCAAGAAGTAATGGGATACGTTTTATTGGAAGTCTTCATACAAAGAATTCCAAAAAATTGCACCGGTGACTCCACTCTAAATGATGCCTTCTGTTACACGTCGAGGTACTGCAGTGGCATGAACTGAATAAAATGTTATTATGGGCTTTTGAAGAACGACAAAATTCAACAGTTCCAAGCCGCTTTTTGCAGCACTTGTTTTATCTTCTTCGCTGATGCAATAGTTGGCCCTCTCATCTGCACATAAAAAGGCACTTGAGTCAAGATAAAGGTCAATAGAATATGTAGACATTAATGGAACCATGCTTCATATTCGATCATGTTAATAAGGATGTGCATGTACCTGCACATACCTGGCATAACCTCATCAAATCATGGACGGATATAAACTACTAAAAGCATCTTTAGCAAGTCATCTTCATTTGAAAACAAAATGTCTTCACCGAATCATTTGCTTACCTGAGATCTAATGGTTAGATGAAGAATCCCACCAACTTCTGATGACTGAATTGATCGTAAATCCAAGTGGAGATTCCTAAGTGCTTCCATAATTTTCATCACTGCTCCTTCTCTCCATGGATGTTTCATTTCAATCAGAACTTCGGTGTTGCTCAAATTGATAATGACGCTACTAGTAGAGCTGTCATTTAGGGCAACTGAATCATTTTCTTGCCATGTTTCTTTAACGTCACATGCCTTTCTCTTGTTATTCATTGGCTTCATGCCATTATCAGTTTTGTTAAAATAATTATCAGAAGTCCTCTCTACCATATCTTGAGGTGTTCTTTTAGCTCTGGTTTCTAAATCTATTAGCTCCCTACATGCTTCCAACTCTCTAATCTTCTTCTCAAGCTTTCTGAGGTATTCAATTGCCTTGTCCAGTATTGAAACTTTGTCATCCTGTAAGAATGGCATAACGAATTAACTTGATAAGCTAAACGCAAGTAAAAAAACTTGGGAGTGAAATTAAAAGGTAAAATACAACTATTTGTTCCTATAATTTTAACATATTTTGATATAGGTACTTGTACATTTTTTCATTGTTCTAGATCCTCTAGTTTTTCCGGCCTGCAACCTTAGTTACTTTATTTTTAAATCTGTCCAAAGAGACAATGATGGATCACTAACCATGTTAAATATGTTGATTTGTCACTAACGGTGTTAATAAGAATGCTGAAGTGTTAAAATATCAAAGAAAGTGAAGATTATGCCCGATAGAATGAAAGAAACCAAAGCTTGGTCAAACATACGAAATCAACTACTTCAACATGCCACCTCAACAAGATTTTAACACTTCAGTATCCTCATTAGCATTGTTACTGACAGGTTAACATATTTAACACTGTTAGTGCCATATCATTGTCCCTTCGCACATATTTAAAAATAGAGGGATTAAGGTTAGAGGCTGGAAAAACTAAATGGACCTAGTATAACGAGAAAAAAAAAGTACGAGGATCTATACCAAAATATGTTAAAACAATAGGAACCACTAATTGTGTTTTCCTAAATTAAAATTACCTTACTAACTGAAGGAACCATTGATCTAAGTGTTAGAAACCTTTCATTTAGTTTTGCCCTTCTCCTTCTTTCTGACAATACATGGTTCATACCAATTTCATCAACCTCTGGTCTCATTTGCTCTTTGTAATCATTTTCTTCTTGACACTCAAGAAGCCCATCCATATGCATCCGAGGAACTTCAAGCAATACCTTTTTCAACAACTTCTGTGGGGTTCCTCCTTTTAACATTTGATAACTCATTGACCCTCCTTTCTTGTAACTAACAAAGCTGGATTCCTTATTACTACTTTGAAAATGTGCTCTAATTACAGACTGGTCTGAGTCTTTTAGAACCGCAGAGAGAACTTTTCGATAATGCCAACCATCATTTCGACAATTCTTTAAGGTCATTTTCGTTTTATTGCACTCCTGGTGGTCTAGCACAGAATGGTCAGTTGGGTTTTGATCCTTAGGACAACAGGCTATCTTTTCAGGATCAGCCAGAGTTTGAGAACTACAGTCACTAGAAATCATGGAGTTATGGGCATCGTTACAAAATTCGTCATCCCTAACTTGCCAGCTATGGACCAAAGAAGAACCACCATCTATTCTTTCAACCACGTGTGTCTCATCTGCCAGTTGGTTTGCTTCAATCGCACTCAAACTATTGGGAGAAGTTTTATTGTTTACAGCAGATCCCACTTCTGGTAATTTGGCATAATAAGCACTGTGGCCAAATGCTGCAGAAGTAATATCTTTATTATTTCTTGTTTTAAATGCAGATCCAGACTTACTGGCACCCAGAACATCCAAGAAAGAAGTTTTTATACGTTGAATGAGACTGAGGTCTTCTGAGATCTTCACAAAGAATCAGAAACCAATATGGGAAACAAAATTATGATACTGAGAAAGCATCCAAGGGGGAATATGACTTGAAGAATAATATTAACATCAAGGAGGAAATTTACCAGATCACTTGTCCCGAGCTCAACTACACCTTCCAGAAATGGGAAGCATGCCACCGTCTGAAAGTTAAGATGAAGAGAGCATGAATGTCAGTGTATTAATCGAATTTCTATTGCTAAATTCGAAGTAACTTATATTTATTGGTGTTGGAATGCGGTCCGCCCTTGATGAATTGGACCAAATAATCAAAAGCCCCCAAACCCAAAGCAATTAATTAAAATTGGGTAAATTACTAAATTTAAATAATTTAGAGTTATGGGCTACAGGAAAGTTAGTGGAGCAGTTATAATTTTGGTTTTAAAATTATGTAACTACCCATATTCTAATAGCAGTATATGGAATAGTTCTTTCCTTTGGCCAAAAAAAAAAAATGGACCGTGAGTCTCTTTCCCCGCTACCCTCTCTTTCTCTCTCAAAAATATTGTGTATCTATTGTGGAACTATATCAGAGATTCGTAGCAGTAATCAAGGATTCCTGTGTGGTAGGAGAGGAGCCTTATCGTCACCGGAGGTATGTTTTCTAGACCTCAGATTTCGACAATTGGTCTTTGTCTTAGGTATGGAACTTGTTAATTGTTTGGCAAATACTCATTGCATAGAAGAGATTCTAGGACAAAGACTGTTGTTGCGTGGCAGGAAAATGGACTACAGCAGCCAGACACTGTTATTTTCCTCTCTGTTCAGGCCGGCGTAATTAGTATGCATATTGTAATCCCCAATGCTTAAACCTTAAACTGTACTGATAGATTCAATACAAGAACTGTTTTATCTTAATTTCTTTCAATACTTCTATAAAGCACTAATCTAACAATCGATAAGATGATAACTTGGTATACATATATCAAGCTGGTTGAGTAAAAATAATCAAAGAAATAGAAAAGATCAACACGGTACCTGAATTGATGCACTCTGCTCATGAGAGGAGACAATTGTCGTCAGTATCGTCATGGAAGAAAGATCAAAACCAATGAAAAGAAGGCATTTTTAGAATACATACATGTTTCAGATACGCATACACCATATTTGACGTTTCAGTCAAAAGTAGAAAAAAATGAACGAACTCGAGAAATGAAATCCTACCTTTGCAAGCAGAGAGCGACTGAAAATTCTACTATCACCAAAAGGGGCATTGTAAACCCAAATAGGTTGGTCATTTGCCAGAGTTCGTCCAGGTAATCTATAAACATAGATAACAAGAACTGAAGATACATAGAGTAGACTATATCCCCACTTCAGTTCAGACAACAAGACAATAGAACACCACATAACGATGAGAAAATTTGAAGATGCCAAACTTAAAAGAAGAAAAAGAAATGGAAAGCGAGAGAGATTTTACCCTTGGCCAATATTGAACACAAAGGACATGCAAACCAAGTAATACCACTCAGTATCTGTGAGATCTTCAGGGCTTAGCGCAGTTGAAGGCCCTTTTGTTTGTTGTGTGGATTCTGCAGTTGCGAGGGACTCAAATAGCTCTCTCAACTGTTCACTCCTCTGCAAACCTATTTGATCAGACCTAAGTTGTACTGCCTGACTTGTTTTCCGAGTCTTTATGTCGCCATTGTAATATCCCTCACCCCATTCCAAAACCCTATAAAGCACAGGCATATAAGCAATCACCAAATAAATAACACCATATGTGTTGTATGTGACAGAGATTATCTAGAGCAAGACTGTGGGGCAAATTCTGGGATATTATCAAACCCAAGATCTCTCCCATAGACTATTTATAGGGCTCATAATGTAGGAATATAAATGTTAGGAAGTACCCGGGTTGGCAACTAGAAGCAGACCAGAATATTGCATAGCTCCACTGGATGCTCCTCACAGCCAAAGCAAGTTGTTTCTTCTTCATGTTCTCTGGCACCATCTTCTACTTTTGCAGTTACAAATCAGTTGTTGAGTAATCAAATCGATATAAATTACTTGATCAACATGTAACGCTATATTATTTGGGCATCATTATCGATATCTCTGCTGGTTCAAGAGCCATTCATACCATTACAGCTCATAAGCGTAGTCCAGTAAGAAAGCATATGTTGACTTAACCGCAACCCAGGAAAAGAGAGAGACGATACCTCATGATGCATTGGAAATGGATGGCCATAATGGATTGCTTATTTTAATGCTTTTCACCATTTTTAAACAAAGTGTTCACTTCAATACGAAGGAAAGGTTAGGAACAAGTATGTTTCAAGCTTTTCGATTTTACAAGTGTGATTATTAGAAATTGACTTGTAACTATAATGTCTGAAAAGGAATCCAAATAAAGTTAGAATTTCATATGGTGGCCTTACGGAAAGATGTGAAAAAAACTGAATACATCAATGTGCTCTTTGGCTAAATCGTCACTAAAATACTCGGTAGTGTCAACATTCAGCTCTCAGACTAGCAAGAAAACAAGTGAAAACACATGGAATATGGGTTTTCCTGACCCAAAAAAAGACACATACGCCTGGGAACCTACACAACACACCACCAAACCTTTTTCTTTAAATTTGGCTGGCAGGCTAAAAGTAAAATTACAAC